GATCTGTAACATGAGTAAGTTTTCTCTATCCAGCTCCGGAGTAGAACCAGTTATCGTCAAAGTATCTTGTACCTATATTAATGAAGATTATTTAGTCTAAAATGATACCTCTCAATAGAGGAAAGCAGCAACATATTCCTCTCTAGAAAATGGCAAGCTTGGCGATGTCAAACTGTAAATCACTCTTCTCAGATTTAGCTCCCTTAGTAAACATTATCCAAGGACTCTTTTCATTGAAGAATTATTTATCGTATGTCATTACCATTGGAATTTCCTACCCGTCTCTCATTCTTACCTGTATCCTAAACATTAATGACTATAAAATTAAGTTTACTTTTCACATTGGATGTTCTCAGGTTTGCTGAAATTTTGATACTGCTCCATGAATATCTACTCAGTTTTCTTAGTACCCAAATTGATATTGAGCACTCTTTGTGGAGTATTAGGGGTATATAGCCTATATCTCAAACTTGCCGAGTCAAAGGTATAGTTATCTTCCATTTCTACATCATAGAAGTCTGTGATTAGTCCATCAGCTGGATTAAGTTCCTTTTCAGAATCAAATAAATGCGTGTATTCTCTTTCGGTTTTAAGATTAATTACTATAATCAAATGAATGTTAGTGATTGATGTTTTTACTTTTCATTATTCTTTGTTGATTTTTTTCTTATATAACAGTAAGGTAGTGTTTATATACTTCAAAGTCAATTATATTTTCATCTTCTTTAGCTTCCACAAGGACTCTCTAGACTGGAAGATCAATAATTGAAGAGGTAGGCAGAGTTTAAAGTAGTTACTGCTATCTAGATTGCATATCATTCATAATAGGCTGAATTTCACGTTTTCCTAGCCTTTATATATCGCTAGTGTGATTTGGCTATAAATTTTGTTCTTAAGTCTTCGATTATTGCTCAAGTCTTTGATATTCTCCTTCTTTTGGAAGTGACTTAATTTGATCTGGTAGCATTATTTTAGTTATCTAAAAAATAAAAGTAAAAATATTGAGGTAAATCTTACCTTATAACTATTCTTATCGTCTTCATTACTCATCTTATATAAAAATTCCCCAGAGTGTTTGATCTAATAATCAACATTTTATTGCATAGTCTAGACAAGCCAAAATCTCTCCTACCTTTGATGAGCATTTTTAATCCATATTTCGTTTGTCTTTGGTGAAAAATTAGACTGGATATTAATCATTATAAAATCTCCACTTAGTGTATTCTCGACTATATTTATGGATAAATAGATGAATGTTACCATTGACAAAGAAATCAGGATTAGTCTCTTCATAGACAAGTTTATCAAAGCTATTTAAGGTTCCAACTTAGTGTCTGTATACTTTAACTCCTCTGCCAAAAGCATCCACTTGTGTATAGTAAATACCATTAGACTTGTCAAAAGCATACTATCCATCAGTGTTTTTAATCAATACAGGTAGAAGTCTATTAATTTTCAAGTCTTTAATAACCAAATCTAAACTTTTCTAATTCATTTCAGTGTCAAAAGCCATTAATGCTAAGTCTTATTCATCACTTATTTGGAAATGATACAAAGGCTAGTGAGACTAGGTCTGCAGCATCTCTGTAATATTCTCTATAAATGTCTTGATATTTTCATCTCTAAGTGCAAATTCTTTGTAAAGCAAAGTGAGATCTTATACTTCAAACAATATTTATTCTGGAAATTCTTTAGCCGTCTCAGACTTCTCAACCTACTCAAAATTATCATGATTAATCCACATATATGGCAATTCACCTTCCACATGCCCCCTGATTTTATGAGCATCAATTGGAAATCTATATATTGTCATACTGTCTGCTGGATTTTCAAATCTTCTATAGTAAAGAAATTCTCCAATCCTTACTGGGAGTGGCTTTGCAATGTGCTGATAATGATCTTGCTCTCTTTGTATTTATCTTGTGAGCAAGTCTTACTTCATCATGCACATAGTGTAGAAGTCATGTTCAACAAGAAGGAAATCCTTCTTCTCCTCTTCAGACATATGCTCCATCCATTTGTAAGGGTCCATTATTCTTCCCTCTTTATTCATTGTATGGATGTTTACTACTTCCTAAGGTCTTCTTTGATGTCTAGGCCATTAAGCTTCTCTGTATGATTCTTAAGATATCTCAACAATATTTCTATATCTATGAGGTAGCCTAGACTTCTTGAGTGGATTCATAATCGTGACCTCTTCCTGAGGATTTTTATTGGGTCTTAAATCATAGAATACCTCCTTATACAATCTCTCTTCATATTTTTCTAGCTTATAGGCGTGCTCTCTTTTGTATTTCATTACTAGTTTTTTATTAGTCTGTCCAATGAGAGTATTAAGTTCATTAATGTCTTTAGATTAGGCTATTTAAGATTCGTATTCGGGCAACTTTGACAAAGAATTATCAAATCTGTCTAGCCCTTCCTCTTCTTTTGGGATGTATAGGTCTCTGAGGATCTTGGTATCATCTTCTTTTAAAGGTTCCAAATTAGTTGCTTACTAAGCAAGTTAATCTTCTTGATTTTGTTTAGCTAATTCATTCTGTTTAATAAATCTTAATTCTTTAATCTCCAATTTCTCAGTATTATCCTCAACAGTAATCTTATTAGAATTTTCATGAATCTATTCTTCTGCTTAAGTTTTTTTCCTCAAGAAATTGAAAATCGATCTTTATTAATTGAGATAGCAAAGCTTGCTGTTGAATTTGAAAACAGATATTGGAGCAGTATGCTTTGCTTTTGAGAGTGTTGTTTTAGCAATTAATTTATACATTTTATCATTATATAATTTTAAAGCCTTATATTTATTTTGAAAGCTGCAATTCAATCATTCTAATCGAATTTCAATCGTGGGGTTTTGGGGTTTTGGGG